TATTTGCGCAATTTGAATTTAACTTGATTTGATCGCACTAGTATTTGTTATTTCTCAATTTGATTTGTGTCTTTTCTTTTGTGCTAACTTGTATTTGGTTGATACGTAGTAATTCGTATTTGTGTAATTTCTATTCAACGCGATTTGATAGGAACTGCATTTATTAATTGTTAATTTTTTGTTGTATTTTTTATTTGTTATCTTTGTCACACCCGGAGTGACCTGACCCCGAGCCAAAAGATGGCGTACCTCCTGGCCTCACTGGAGGGGGAGGCCCTGGGCGTCGTCGGCCACTTGAGATTGTCGGACGACGCCTACCAGACTGCTCGGGACCTCCTAGCCAGAAGATACGCCAACGTCCGGCGTATTGCGGATGAACATGTTAAGCAGCTTCTAAGCCTCCCGCTGCTTAGTGACCGGGCCAGACTACGTCCGGACCTGTTGGATCCAGTCTTGGTGGCCTGTAATGCGTTGAGGCGGCTGGAATTACCAGTGGGCGAATGGGCTTTTGTGTTGCTCCGCATCGTGCTCTCCCGTCTACCTCTCGACCTTCGAATCCATTTTGAGGAGAGGTACGGCGGGGACGAGGCCTCCTATATTCCGCCCTTCTATGACCTGCTGCGGTTTTTGGAGGAGCAGTGCCGGCAGATCGAGAACGCGGCGGGCACCGTTGACGACTTACGAGACGTGCCCAGTGAGAGGCTGAACCCGCCAGGCAAGTCGTTGTCAACCCTCCCCTGCTCCTATTGTCGAGTGTCTGATCATCGGGTAACGTCGTGCCCGAAATTATTAGGTAAGCCGGTTCCAGCGAGGCGAACTATCGCCAAGGAGCGCCGCTGGTGCTGCTCACGTTTGGAAGGGCACCTCCAGCGAGACTGTCCACATCGGCGGCCCTGTCTGCATTGCCAGGGCAATCATCATGCAGTTTTGTGCCTGGGTGCGAACGGCGTATGCTCTCGGGGCTCTGCCAGGCCCTTGACCCCCACGGGCGGGGGCGCTCAGCCACGCCCTCTGCCCGGCGGCTCTCGGCGCCTGCCGGCCGGCCACCGGGCCCCTAATTTTGAAAGGGGCCCCTCCCCCGACCAGTCGGGGGGTAATTCCCCCAGGGGCGGGGGTGTCATGACCCCCCCTCAAGGGTGGAGAGGAACTTCACGGCCACTCATCGGTCCGCTGGACCCTTCTTACTCCCGTTAGCTGAGTGGCCGCGACTGATGTACCACTGTTCCCCATTTGATGGAGGCGGCCCTGGCTAGCTGCCGCCTTGGCTCCCACCACGGCCACCTCCACTGAGCCTTAAGCCGTCAACAGTCCACTTGTCAAAATGTTCTGTTGCCGACGGCCTCAGTGAAGGCGTACAACCCGAGTGGCGACTGTTAGCGGTTGTGCTCGATTGATCCCGGGTTCACGCCATGTGGCCTCTTCTTGGTGGTGGGAAGATTAGGGCCCCCCTGGAGCGTTGAATCACGCTGTCAAGGGGTATTAGATTTGGTTGGTCGAGCACTTAGTCAAAAAATACTTGAATTAAAATTAAAAAATGGTTAGGGCTTTCCGCGAAATTTTCCTATTTGTAGCGGTTTAAATTAAAAGAATTGAATTTAATCTACTCCTTTAAATGCTACTGCATGTGTTTTGTACATATATTTAATCACTGTATTTGATTGTTGCGTCTGTTTGCTGAAAGGAAATTGAACGGCTCGCTATTTGAAAAATTATGTTTATGTTTATGATAGTGTTTAATCATTTTGCTTTGCGAAGAAGTAGGGCTCTCCCTTACGTTATTGTTTTGTTTAATTTGCAAGTTGACCTATGCGCATCGGTGATTAATTTGGTTGAATTGATTCTGTAGTTGAACATTGATGCTTTTGAAAAATTATTTGAAATATGAGCATAGGACTACTTGTCTAACAGGCTAACTAGTTTTGGAGATTATCAGATTGAAATCAGCTGCCACACTATTTTAGTAAATGATAATATGGTGGGTGGCCTGGCTAGGCCTACTTGTTGAAAATTCATACTAGGGACTATCTGTGCGTTTCGTTCGGCTCTCCACAGACGACGTTCATGTGGAATTTGTGGGTGCACTCTGCACTGAAGCAACTGCTGGCACAAAATTTGTCTGGGCAGCTTCGTGTAGCGTCGCTGTTTGCAGAGCTGATCCGGTCGGATTGCGGAACTAATCATAGGGGCACAGATAGGTGTTTGAAAGAGGTCGTCGGACTTCTGTCCAGTACAGGACTTGTTAAAGTGCTGCGATGCCCAGAAGGGGCATCCAGTGGAGGCTGACCCTCCGGCTTGCCACATTAGGGCTATTTTTTGAGGCGCTCGTTAGGGTTGCAAGATCTGATGGGGTGCCTAAGGTGGCCTAGTTTGGTTGTAGATTCGGTCTTGCAACTTGCCTTCGCGACCTTGTCCCGCTGACCGGTTTGCTCGCGGACCTAAATCCTTATGTCCGGGACGGGGGTTTGTTGGACGGGGGAGACCGAAGGTGTTAAATTATACTTTAGGCCTTTATGTAAAAGGGACGCTCGGTGCCACCACTGCGTCCATTGCGGGGAGGACACGGCGCAACACACGCTCGCCGAGTGTGTAGCTTGGGAGGAGCAGCGCCGTGTCCTCACAAATAAAGTAGGAGGCGATCTGTCGCTGCCGACCTTAGTGCGGAAGATGGTCGGTAGCGCAGAGTCGTGGGATGCGGTGGTGTCCTTCTGCGAGGACGTGATGTCGCAGAAGGAAACTGCGGAACGGGAAAGGGAGATCTCGACTCCCTTCCCTGGCCGCAGAAGGCGCACCGGGCGCAGGAGAAGGGCGGACAACGCCCTTTTCCGGCCCCCATAAATGGGTCCAGGGGCGAGGGACTTGGGGAAGCCCCCCGCCACCCCTACTCGATGGACCCGAGACGGATGCGCGCGCGGGTGTCGGCGCGCGCCCCTGAGGCGATACACGGGGTAGTTGAACACCTCACTACCCCGTGCAGGAGACGAGGCCTGGACGGACCGGGCCAGCACTAGTGTGGGGCTGCGGAAGAATTTGGATTCCCGCGGCCCCATGCGCACGTGTGAGGAGACACCGGGGTGGTTTTAGCCGGTAAGAGTCCGGCACGCCCCTCCGCCTTTCCCCAGGCGGAGGTAGTCCATGAGGATTTCCCCCCGTAAAATAAAAAAATAAAAAAAAGACTCCAATAGCTCAAAGTCATCACCTTGGATAACATCGTTAACTTTCTGGCCGTACCCACTACTCTCCATAATAACAACAGTATTGCCTTTATCGGCTTTAGTAACAATAAGGTCGTTTTCCCTTATTCTCTGCTTTAGGGACTTAAAAACAGGGAACTCAGGATTGAAATGGGAAGACGCGGGCACAGCCCGAATTTCATTAGCTACCAAACTTTTAACGATGTTATCTTTCTTCCCGATCACAACAGCCACCTCCGCGTCAACAGCCATAGTCTCTAACGATTTTTGAGAGACCGAAGGTGTTAAATTATACTTTAGGCCTTTATGTAAAAGGGACAACTCATCTGTTGGAAACTGGACATCGGAAAGATTTTTAACTCTCCCCGAGTTAAAAATCCTTCCGATGTCCAGCCACCGTAGAGTCCATATCACCTGAGGATGCCTCGTGTAGAGGCGAAACACGTGTCGTATTGTCGTCAGTGGTGTGTCTTGCCTAGTGTAGCGGTGTTGGAAGTAGCGGTGCTGGGATTAGTGGTGACGGGGATAGTGCACGCAATTGAGGGAGGGCGGGAGGTGCTTCTTCATACTAGGTAAGACACATCATTTTATTTTATAACGCGGATATTTGCGAAGTAAATTTTTTGTAAAAGCTTTTACAATAGGTAAGTAAATATTTGATTATTAATTTTTCAAGTAAGTACCTTTATTTTATTGTATGATCACGACACGGTGTGATTTTACCTTTTTATTGTTATTACAAGCTTTTTCTAAACATTTGTAGGAATGTGAGTGGGTTGGCATGTAATAGATATTGCGATGTCTGATTGAGTTGAAATTTTGAATACCGTAACTTCAGTGACAATGCAATAATATGGTAGGTATAATCTGATGCTGCAGCCAAGATTGTCTCCTCACTAGAAAACTCTTGAACGAGTAGTAGCAGGGTCACGAAATTTTGTATGTTAGTTTAAATTTGATAGTTTAACACAATTTTTATCATAAAGTGCTGCTGCAGTCAGTATTGCCTCCTTAAAAGGGAACTCTTTAACGGCTAACCGTCCATGTTACTAATAGCATGGACTCGAAACTTTCTATTTAAATTTAATTTTGTTTGCTAAACATGATCTTCACTATAAACTGCTGCTGCAAACAGGATAGTCTCCTCACGAGGGAACTCCTCAACCGGGAACTCCTTGTCGATATTGGCAACGAAATACTTAAACGTATTAAAGATTGTCAATTTGATATGCCACGTGAGTGTTTCCCGTTAGATTACTTGCAAAAACTTTATCTTAGATTTAGAATTTACCACACCATTAAAAGAACAATTATTATTAAAAAACAAAAATTATAAATAGAAGAGTATGAGAGCAAGTAATTTGTAAAGTATTCTATCATACTGAATAATAAAAATATTTAACAAATGTTATGTTTAATTGTCTTCACCTATTGTGACAACCCTACTAAAATAGGTAACAATTTTGCATCTTCTTCTGTTCCGTTTATCTACTCATGTGCTAACGGGCCGCTGACACTGACTAAATTATTTTTATAAACTTAAGTTCATCGAGTAAACATTAAGATAATTGGGGTCAATAAAGCTTAGCTTATAGATGTGATAAAAAGCATTTTTCGATTTTTACACGGTTATGACTTCTCTCCTTGAAATAGAAAAACGAGTTAATATAAAAATATTTATTTAAAAAAAAACTACATTAAAGCATCGATTTTTATCACAATTAATATTAATAGTAACATTATAAAGAAATCTAAAACTAATGTGAAATCAGTACACCGAAGCACTGATTGAAGCAAACTTCTGTTCCATTATACGTCCTCGTCCTCCATGATGGTCATGTTCTGCATGAATGACTGCAGACTGTTGGGACTGTTGACTAGACTCTCGAATGTGTGATGATTATTTCCTAACTGAAAATATAAAGAATGACGTTTATAGACCATGCACAATTTTACTTATTTACCTAACAATAATTTAATTATGATTCGGGGAAGAAACCAATGATTTAAAAGTCCTACGTAAGCAAACTCAACACAAACGCGATGCGTGTGGTATGCTGCAAGTAAATATCATAATATTAAATTATTTGACATTTTCGTGCGATTCGAACGTGGTTTGCGATTTGTGTTTGATTATTACGACAGAAATTTTGACACGACCGTATGTAATGGAACCGTGAATAGAAAAAATCAAATAACGTGTCGAAGGGATAAATCAAATATAGGAATTTTCTGTCAAGAAAATCATTTTCAGTAGTATCGTGAGCCAGGAAGTTGGCGGTATTTGATGGTAGCACGTAAAGCAGTTTTTCCTGCACCTGATCTCTCTTCAATCACGTCGGATAGTGTTTGCGCATACACTCGGACAGTATAATCCTCTCCTGCGCAGATGGAAAGTCTCCGTTGTGAGTTGTTCATGATAATACAATATAAAAAAGGTAAATTTTTATTTGTTTGAAAACAATTCTGTGCTAGATGATACGCGTGGGGGTGTGTAAGAATATCTATTAACCCATATCGTCCCGTGGTGTCGTAAGAGTTGACAGAGGGAAACAAACCAGGGCAGCAGCATATTCCAAATAACTAAAAAAAAAAGGAAAATACGATTGCCAACCGCCTGCCAAGCGTAACTATGGAAAATATTCCCTCTATGTTTCAATATACGGGGAAGGCCTATGTTCATCAGCAGTGGACTTTTAATAGGATGTAACAGTAAGTAGATGACAGAGCTCCTTTTTTGTTTATGAGTTTGTCTGCATCATTGAACCCGTCATACTTATTTCTGTCGCCAAGAAGTAGTGTACCTATTATTATGTTCAAGTTTAAAGCTAGAGCTAGTATACAAGGGCGACACTGAAAGATTTAAGAACTGGCCCCTTGTAAACGATATAATAAAAAAATAAGTTAAAATTTTGAAAACAGAACTCTTTGTCAATATTATTGTGTATGTATTTTATTAATTTGCCATTTGTTTACGAATTGGCGACAAATTGAAAATTATCAGTGTCACGTCAGCATGAATTTAACGCGAGAAAAAAGTCAACAAGAAAGTTATGATAGACTTCGATTGGCCTTTCACGATGAAGTCCTATTTCATGCCACTGTTTATTGAGTTATTAAGTGGTTTAATGAGCTTAAACGCGGTGTACTTACGAAGCTGAGCACCCACTTGGAGAGGTGCTGCGTGTAGTGCGTCAACTAGCGCGGTGTACTTACGAAGCTGCTCACCCACTTGGAGAGGTGCTGCGTGTAGTGCGTCAACTAGCGCGGTGTACTTACGAAGCTGCGCACCCACTTGGTGAGGTGCTGCGTGTAGTGCGTCAACTAGCGCGGTGTACTTACGAAGCTGCGCACCCACTTGGAGAGGTGCTGCGTGTAGTGCGTCAACTAGCGCGGTGTACTTACGAAGCTGCGCACCCACTTGGAGAGGTGCTGCGTGTAGTGCGTCAACTAGCGCGGTGTACTTACGAAGCTGCGCACCCACTTGGTGAGGTGCTGCGTGTAGTGCGTCAACTAGCGCGGTGTACTTACGAAGCTGCGCACCCACTTGGAGAGGTGCTGCGTGTAGTGCGTCAACTAGCGCGGTGTACTTACGAAGCTGCGCACCCACTTGGAGAGGTGCTGCGTGTAGTGCGTCAACTAGCGCGGTGTACTTACGAAGCTGCGCACCCACTTGGAGAGGTGCTGCGTGTAGTGCGTCAACTAGCGCGGTGTACTTACGAAGCTGCGCACCCACTTGGAGAGGTGCTGCGTGTAGTGCGTCAACTAGCGCGGTGTACTTACGAAGCTGCGCACCCACTTGGAGAGGTGCTGCGTGTAGTGCGTCAACTAGCGCGGTGTACTTACGAAGCTGCGCACCCACTTGGAGAGGTGCTGCGTGTAGTGCGTCAACTAGCGCGGTGTACTTACGAAGCTGCGCACCCACTTGGAGAGGTGCTGCGTGTAGTGCGTCAACTAGCGCGGTGTACTTACGAAGCTGCGCACCCACTTGGTGAGGTGCTGCGTGTAGTGCGTCAACTAGCGCGGTGTACTTACGAAGCTGCGCACCCACTTGGAGAGGTGCTGCGTGTAGTGCGTCAACTAGCGCGGTGTACTTACGAAGCTGCGCACCCACTTGGAGAGGTGCTGCGTGTAGTGCGTCAACTAGCGCGGTGTACTTACGAAGCTGCGCACCCACTTGGAGAGGTGCTGCGTGTAGTGCGTCAACTAGCGCGGTGTACTTACGAAGCTGCGCACCCACTTGGAGAGGTGCTGCGTGTAGTGCGTCAACTAGCGCGGTGTACTTACGAAGCTGCGCACCCACTTGGAGAGGTGCTGCGTGTAGTGCGTCAACTAGCGCGGTGTACTTACGAAGCTGCGCACCCACTTGGAGAGGTGCTGCGTGTAGTGCGTCAACTAGCGCGGTGTACTTACGAAGCTGCGCACCCACTTGGAGAGGTGCTGCGTGTAGTGCGTCAACTAGCGCGGTGTACTTACGAAGCTGCGCACCCACTTGGAGAGGTGCTGCGTGTAGTGCGTCAACTAGCGCGGTGTACTTACGAAGCTGCGCACCCACTTGGAGAGGTGCTGCGTGTAGTGCGTCAACTAGCGCGGTGTACTTACGAAGCTGCGCACCCACTTGGAGAGGTGCTGCGTGTAGTGCGTCAACTAGCGCGGTGTACTTACGAAGCTGCGCACCCACTTGGAGAGGTGCTGCGTGTAGTGCGTCAACTAGCGCGGTGTACTTACGAAGCTGCGCACCCACTTGGAGAGGTGCTGCGTGTAGTGCGTCAACTAGCGCGGTGTACTTACGAAGCTGCGCACCCACTTGGAGAGGTGCTGCGTGTAGTGCGTCAACTAGCGCGGTGTACTTACGAAGCTGCGCACCCACTTGGTGAGGTGCTGCGTGTAGTGCGTCAACTAGCGCGGTGTACTTACGAAGCTGCGCACCCACTTGGAGAGGTGCTGCGTGTAGTGCGTCAACTAGCGCGGTGTACTTACGAAGCTGCGCACCCACTTGGAGAGGTGCTGCGTGTAGTGCGTCAACTAGCGCGGTGTACTTACGAAGCTGCGCACCCACTTGGAGAGGTGCTGCGTGTAGTGCGTCAACTAGCGCGGTGTACTTACGAAGCTGCGCACCCACTTGGAGAGGTGCTGCGTGTAGTGCGTCAACTAGCGCGGTGTACTTACGAAGCTGCGCACCCACTTGGAGAGGTGCTGCGTGTAGTGCGTCAACTAGCGCGGTGTACTTACGAAGCTGCGCACCCACTTGGAGAGGTGCTGCGTGTAGTGCGTCAACTAGCGCGGTGTACTTACGAAGCTGCGCACCCACTTGGAGAGGTGCTGCGTGTAGTGCGTCAACTAGCGCGGTGTACTTACGAAGCTGCGCACCCACTTGGAGAGGTGCTGCGTGTAGTGCGTCAACTAGCGCGGTGTACTTACGAAGCTGCGCACCCACTTGGAGAGGTGCTGCGTGTAGTGCGTCAACTAGCGCGGTGTACTTACGAAGCTGCGCACCCACTTGGAGAGGTGCTGCGTGTAGTGCGTCAACTAGCGCGGTGTACTTACGAAGCTGCGCACCCACTTGGAGAGGTGCTGCGTGTAGTGCGTCAACTAGCGCGGTGTACTTACGAAGCTGCGCACCCACTTGGAGAGGTGCTGCGTGTAGTGCGTCAACTAGCGCGGTGTACTTACGAAGCTGCGCACCCACTTGGAGAGGTGCTGCGTGTAGTGCGTCAACTAGCGCGGTGTACTTACGAAGCTGCGCACCCACTTGGAGAGGTGCTGCGTGTAGTGCGTCAACTAGCGCGGTGTACTTACGAAGCTGCGCACCCACTTGGAGAGGTGCTGCGTGTAGTGCGTCAACTAGCGCGGTGTACTTACGAAGCTGCGCACCCACTTGGAGAGGTGCTGCGTGTAGTGCGTCAACTAGCGCGGTGTACTTACGAAGCTGCGCACCCACTTGGAGAGGTGCTGCGTGTAGTGCGTCAACTAGCGCGGTGTACTTACGAAGCTGCGCACCCACTTGGAGAGGTGCTGCGTGTAGTACGCGGAGGCGAAGCGCGCGTCCACCAGCAGCACGGCGCCCCAGTCGCCGCGGTGCCGCACGCAGCGTCCCACAGCCTGGTTCAGTGCCCTAGAGTGCAAGAATACTGTCATTGCACCAATCAGGGCTTATAATCTTCGGCTCATTAAATGTCCCTAGTTGGAACTCAGGTGAACTTATTTGTTACGCAGATGGTTGCACAGTGCCATTCATTAAATAGTTGCGATTTATTTAAAAGATTTTCGGTTTCTAATGTGTGATTTTTTACGCATACTTTCCTTCTTCGTTTAGGAATATTCATAGTTTAGTTTGTCAATTTCTAATCTAATTAATATCAGATATAACTAATATTACAGAAACATTAATCTAGCCTTTTCTAAGAAATAAACTTCCTCCGCTATAAGATTTGTCAAATATTTCAGATTATACTTGCCTTCATCTTGACTCACCGCAGACTTACAAGGCAATTCCCTGGCACTTGCAAATTCGTCGACACCTAGACTGCACTATCGACCTCCGGTCTGAGCAGAGCCGTGCCGAACACTGTAGCGCAGAGAGTAGCTTGAAGGAGCAGGAAGCATTACTGCTTTAACTTCAGAACTTTGTTAGTGCGATTTAGACTTCGATGTGTTTCGCTTGTGGCGCGACGACAGCGCCGCCACATCACCCCCCTGCTCAGACCGGAGGTCAATAGTGCAGTCCGATTGCCGGTGCATCCTTAATGCTGGTGCGGAATGCATGCTGTGTGCGTGAGGGTAAGTGACGCCGGTGCGAATGATATGCCGTTGTGTAGTGCATGCCGTACTACGCACTTGCAAGTGATGCCGGTGAGAACGATGAGCCGGAGCAGGTTCCAGGTATGGCCTTGTAGTCTGCGGTGAGTAGAGAAGAAGGCAAGTAATCTGCGAGAGTGCTGTGAAGCAGAGGCGAGCAGTAAGGCTCAGAGCCGTGCCGAACACTGTAGCGCAGAGAGTAGCTTGAAGGAGCAGGAAGCATTATTATTCCAGTGCTGCGATGAACTTTATAAAGCTAGATGGCTTGCAGAATGTGAAGACTGCAGACAATATATGCTCGGGAGTGAATGAATGGGGTACTTGAGGATAATAAGATGGTTTGAAGTTGTAGTTTCCGAAGGTTGATGGTTGCGTGTTCATATCACGTCGGGGTCACCACTGTAGTTGTAGGAAGGAAAAGGAGAGATCTCCCGCCGGGCAAGGTGTTCTGCCCGGGGAGCAGCTAAAGCTCCGATTGGTAGTTCGGAGCTATTCTATATATACTGATTTAACTTCGGAACTTTGTTAGCGCGATTTAGGCTTCGATGTGTTTCGCTTGTGACGCGACGACAGCGCCGCCACATCACCCCCCTGCTCAGACCGGAGGTCGATAGTGCAGTCCGATTGCCGGTGTGTAATGCATGCCGTACTACGCACTTGCAAGTGATGCCGGTGAGAGCGATGAGTCGGAGCAAGTGCCAGGGATTGCCTTTTAGTCTGCGGTGAGTCGAGAAGAAGGCAACTAATCTACGAGAGTGCCGTGAAGCAGAGGCGAGCAGTAAGGCTCAGAGCCGTGCCGAACATTGTAGCGCAGAGAGTAGCTTGAAGGAGCAGGAAGCATTATTATTCCAGTGCTGCGATGAACTTTGTAAAGCTAGATGGCTTGCAGAATGTGAAGACTGCAGACAATATCTGCTCGGGAGTGAATGAATGGGGTACTTGAGGATAATAAGATGGTTTGAAGTTGTAGTTTCCGAAGGTTGATGGTTGCGTGTTCATATCACGTCGGGGTCACCACTGTAGCTGTAGGAAGGAAAAGGAGAGATCTCCCACCGGGCAAGGTGTTCTGCCCGGGGAGCAGCCAACGCTCCGATTGGTAGTTTAGCTCCGAACTACCTTCTATATATACTGCTTTAACTTCGAAACTTTGTTAGCGCGATTTAGGCTTCGATGTGTTTCGCTTGTGGCGCGACGACAGCGCCGCCACATCACCCCCCTGCTCAGACCGGAGGTCAATAGTGCAGTCCGATTGCCGGTGCGTCCTTAATGCTGGTGCGGAATGCATGCTGTGTGCGTGAGGGTAAGTGACGCCGGTGCGAATGATATGCCGTTGTGTAGTGCATGCCGTACTACGCACTTGCAAGTGATGCCGGTGAGAACGATGAGCCGGAGCAGGTTCCAGGTATGGCCTTGTAGTCTGCGGTGAGTAGAGAAGAAGGCAAGTAATCTGCGAGAGTGCCGTGAAGCAGAGGCGAGCAGTAAGGCTCAGAGCCGTGCCGAACACTGTAGCGCAGAGAGTAGCTTGAAGGAGCAGGAAGCATTATTATTCCAGTGCTGCGATGAACTTTGTAAAGCTAGATGGCTTGCAGAATGTGAAGACTGCAGACAATATATGCTCGGGAGTGAATGAATGGGGTACTTGAGGATAATAAGATGGTTTGAAGTTGTAGTTTCCGAAGGTTGATGGTTGCGTGTTCATATCACGTCGGGGTCACCACTGTAGTTGTAGGAAGGAAAAGGAGAGATCTCCCGCCGGGCAAGGTGTTCTGCCCGGGGAGCAGCTAAAGCTCCGATTGGTAGTTCGGAGCTATTCTATATATACTGATTTAACTTCGGAACTTTGTTAGCGCGATTTAGGCTTCGATGTGTTTCGCTTGTGACGCGACGACAGCGCCGCCACATCACCCCCCTGCTCAGACCGGAGGTCGATAGTGCAGTCCGATTGCCGGTGCGTCCTTAATGCCGGTGCGGAATGCATGCCGGTGTGTAATCTGATATAATCACGCAACCAATGTCTTCACATTCTGCAAGCTTTACAAAGGTTCATCGCAGAACACCTTGCCCGGCGGGAGATCTCCCCTTTTCCTTGTACCCGCCACAGTGGGCTTGCGGCGCGACGGCAGCACCGCCACAACCTCATTCCAAAGTGGCACTGCCCATCCTGCATATATTATTATAGTAGCACGAATGGGCCTGCTCCACCGGAGAAGGACCGCGCTTGCACAGAATTACTGTGTAAAATAGCCGCCTAATGCTGGTGTATTTCATATAGTGAGTGTAGAGAACTGGAGACCCATTTTACTGGCAATTAGACCATTTTAGATGGTATTACGAGTTTTGTTGCGATGTGCGATGGTGAAATTGAGCGGCTGGAATCAGTCCGGACAATTCCTCTGAGCACTCCCCATGTTAGATGCGATAGAATATGCAAAGAGATGCAACATTTCTTCCTAGCGCCTGTGCGACGTGAGTCAAGCCGATCAGACAAAACTCGGTCGTCGCTGATTCGAACCGCTCTGCGCCCATAGATGAGAACAACAATAAACCTTCACCTCCTATGGTCCCACCGACCCTCAGGTCATACTCAGGTCCTGAGCCACCAGGTCGTTACTCCATCTAGTGGGGGGTCACCCTACACTTCGCCTACCAGTAGGAGGCTGCCACTCGAGAACCTTTCTTCCCCATCGGTTGTCGGTTCTTCGAGCTATATGGCTGGCCCACTGCCACTTCAGCTTACTAATTGGGCTATGTCGGTTACTCTGGTTCTACTGCGGACATCCTCATTTCTAAGTTTATCACGCAGAGAAACCCCGAGCATAGCCCTCTCCATAACTTGCTGAGCGATCTTGAGCTTCCTCATACGGCCAGCTGTGAAGGACCACGTCTCAGATGCGTAAGTCATCACTGGCAACACGCACTGGTTGTACAATTTCGTTTTAAGGTTTTGAGGTATGTCTAACGAGAAGATGTGTCGTAGTTTCCCGAACGCTGCCCCTCGGTCGAAGTTGGACTTACCTAGTCGGCCTATTTGTCCCAGGTACGAGGGCGGCACTGAAAATTTCGGGAATCAAGGAAGTGACACAACATTACTATTTAAAAATGTATTTATTGCTTTTCGAAGTATTCTCCGCGAAATTTGACACATTTTTCCATACGATGGAACCAATCATTGAAGCAACCATTCCATTCGGAAGATGGGGTCTCCAAAATGGCCGTTTTGTAGGCGTCCACAGCTTCTTCAGGTGATGAAAATCTCTGTCCACGCAATTTATTCTTTATTTTAGGGAAAGTATAGAAATCATTAGGGCTTAGGTCGGGGCTGTGCGGCGGATGGTCTAATAATTCTATGTTTTCTTGCTCTAAAAACTCTTTTGTTCTGTGTGCGGTGTGAGAACTCGCATTGTCGTGATGGAGGATGTTGCGGCGGTTGCAGTTCTCTTTACGGAGTTCAGAAACGACCTGTGGCAAACAAATGCTAGCATACCATTCTGCATTAACCGTTCTTTCTCCCTCAAGAGGAATATTCGTAACATGGCCGGTTTTGGAGACAAACGTGGCCACCATTTTTTTTGCAACACTCCGTGAACGAACAATTTTTGTTGGCTCTACTCATTTTCGAACACCCAAACTCGTGACTAGTTTTTTGTTTCGGGTTCGTACGCGTATATCCAGAATTCGACACCTAATACGATGTTGTATATTATAAAAGGATTATAAAAGGGAACCGTCACTAAACCGACGGTTCCACGGACAGTACCGTCCAGCGTAGGTGCCCCCACCAAAGGGATAACCTCGCTGAACGTTTCCAAAACCAGTTCCAAGGAGCTGGAAGAGAAAAAGAAACAAGAGCCCGCAAGTGATAAAACTGCGGAGCCACTACGGACTGACGACCTTTTCTCTGCTGCCTGGCAAGTGGTGAGCCGTAAGGGGAAAGGCAAGGCACCCAAAAAGGTGACTTGCCGACCTGACGGACATCAGGAGGGTCTATCCCTGCAGGCAGTAGTGGAAAGGCCAAAAAGAAGAACAAGAAGCAGCGGGAAAAAGGCCGTAGAGAACGAGCCGCATTGGCTGCTTCAGATACCAAAATCAAGGAGGCTGGGCAAGCTACTGCGACTGAGGTGCTTGGCGCTGGAACCAGTAGCCGCGCTGAAGCTGGGAAGGATAAAAATCCAGCCCAAGTGGAAGTCGCGGACGCGGGAACCAGCTCTAGGATATCCGCCAGGAAGCAGCGAGCGGCCAAGCGTCCTGGGAAGAAGGAAAGAGCAGCCAAAAGGATGCTGGAAGAGTCCACCTCGCCTAGAGGTGAACACAAAAAAG